TTATGACCTTAATGACAAAAAGGGTCGGAATGCACTAACCTTTTTATACAAAAAGGGGAGAAGAGCTAAAAAAGCTATTTGCTATAATGAAATTTAGGAGCTTGTCCATTTATTACAAGTTCTCCGCCTGGTTTATCTGCCTAACTAAAATTCTTGCACCGGATGTCCTCATCCTCTATCTCCGTAGGAAAATCTTGTCTCAATAGGTAACAAAAGTCGATCGGACGACTTTGCCACTATCGAGAAATGGGTAAGGAGCAGCAAGATGCCCTACGTGGGTTATGCCGATCCCATCATGAACGACGGACCCACATCCCACTTGATCATATCCGGTAAAAGCTCCCTGAACCCATCACTCTTACCGTCGAGGTAAAACCGGTGCCTAGGTCGATCGAACGGCTCAAAGCCGCTGCCGATAGACAAGCACCCTTACTTTACTCATTAATTTTTGTTATCGAGCCTCCGACCCCAGCAACGACAGGGGTCAGACATTGCTCAGGGGCTGGCAAGAGTGTCCATTCAGTAGACATTCTCTGTGCCTGACCCCTCCTTACGTTAAAAAACTGGAGGCAGGGTGTGCGGGCACAAACTCTGAGTAAAGCTGGTCGGACTGCGAGAAACCTATGCCTCGACGGCTATGGCGTCTTTACTCACCAGCGTGATCAGAGTTTTTGTCCCCGCACCCCGAGCTTTAGCCTCCACCTTCTCGGGAAAGGTTTGGAGGGGCCCACCTGTGGAATCTCCATCGAGGAGAGGCCGACGGGTCGCCCAAATCGATCGAATGGCTCAGGCCACTGCCGAGAGATGGATAGGGAGTAGTGGGATATCCCATGAGGTTACGCCAGCTTCACTATGAATGTCGGACCTGGATCCCACATGGACATATCCGAGAGCTCCCTGAACCCATCACTCGAGCCATCGAGGTAACTTTACCGACGCCCACTTTTCTTTTCCATTGCATTATCATTCATTCATCCATTCTCATGCATGCATTCATACATTCATTCATACATTCATTCATCCCATACATCCAAGCATTGTATATGCAATTGCAGCATCACAACGCTTCATGTCGCGTCACGAAGCGGTTGTCGTCTCATTTGATATGAGCGGTGATCGACCGAGGTTCAAAAGTCGGCCCACGAAGGGCTCGAGGACGCCTCGCGTCAAACAGAGCCAGGGGAGAAAAAACGAGATGAGCCTCAATGGCCTTGCCCGACCCTACTCAGAAGCGGACAGGGACGTCTCGACCTTTCTTGTTCGATTCTAACCTCGAGCCAATCCCACAGAATCTCCATCGAGGAGAGGCCAACGGGCCACGCAAGTCTATCGAATGGCTCGGGCATTTGCCGAGAGGCGGGTTAAGAAGTAGTGGAATGCCACATGAGGGCTCTGCCAACCCCATCAGCGGATGACGGACCCGGATTCCACTCGAATATGCCTGTTAGTGAGCTCACCGAGCGCGACACTCGAGCCATCGAGGCAAGTGTCGTTAGCTTAGCCCCTCTGGTTGTGGAAACCGAGGACGGGGTGACGCATGAAACATGGCCGACCCCTACCGAGCCCCATGGGGCTTGGGGGCTTGAGCCGCTCGATCCTAGATCAGGAGACCAGGGTTCGAAGGCTAGCCCGTGGAGGGCCCAAGGCTGCCTCGCGTTGAACAAGAGCCAGGGGAGAAAACGTAGATGAGCCCCAGCGGCCTTCGCCCGACCCGCCTAGAAGCGGATAGGGTCATCTCAACCGTCTCGTTTGATCCTAACCTCTAGCCGATCCCATAGAATCCCCATTGAGGGGGCATCTGTTGGAAGGTGGGTTAAGGAACAGTGGAATGCCATGTGAGGGCTTTGCCAACCCATCACGAATGACGTACTCGGGTTCCACTAGAACATGCCCGTTAGCGAGCTCATCGAGCACGTCACTCAAGCCATTGAGGCAAGTGACGTTAGCTCAACCCCTTCAGTTGCGGAAACCTCGGATGGGGCGACAATCACAAAGACGAACCGACCCTCGATTGAACCCCTGCTACGCATGGGGGCTCGAGGAAAGTTGGACTTGTAAGGAAACCAAACATGCGGTCGCAGAACGATTGCTCAGATCCTGGGGAGGGGGGACGTGCGAATACAAGAGATGCTTTCTCCTACTAGTTTCGCTATCCTCTCCTCAATTTTTAGTGACATCCGACCCTAGCAACGGCAAGGGGTCGGATCTCACTCGAGGGCTGATAAGGGTATAAATACACCCTTTTCTAAAATAGTCGCCGCGCCCAGCCTCTTCCTCATGTTAAACCTAGTGGCAAGGTCTGCGGGAGCAAACAACTGAGCAAGCCTGGTCAAACTACAAGAAACCTATGCCTCGATGGCTACGGTGTCTTTGCTCACCAACGTGAATAGAGTTTCCCTCCTACACCTTGAGCCTTACGGTCTTAATGAATGAAAGGGTCAGAATGCGTAAGCCCCTTTTCCACACACAAAAAGGGAGGAAAAACGCATTCAATCAAACAAAACGAAATAACAAGTTTGTTTTTCAATACACAAGGGTCGGCACTTGTCCACTAATTACAACAATGATCATCTGACCTACTTGACTAACTAGCCCCTCCAGGGGAGAACTATGTCTTCTATTCTATCTGCTAGGTCCCATGAAAGAGGAGCCACCACCGTCTCTATCTCATCTGGCTCAAGGTCTTCATAGCCAGGCGCGAAGCTGAGGCTCATCGTCTCTAGGTCAATGCTATCCCCATAATGAGAATGAGCAATCACAAAGGCTTGGTTGACCCTAGTGTGAAGAGCTTCCCTCTCGAGCTAGCGCATCTACACCATGATATCAACGGCATGGGCCATGAGCTAACTGGTCCCCTCTGACCGCACCACCTCCAGGTCATTGCAGACCACTCCGAGGACGGCGCTCAGGATACCGAGCTCGTCACTCTCTGCCTAAAGGTTCTTCCTTGCCTTGGTGAGGTCCGCGGCCAGCTCGGCAGAGATGCCCTCGGCCTCCAGCCTCTGGGTTGTTGCAGTTCCAAGCTTGGCCTAGAGGGAGCTGATCTTCTGCTGCGTGTCGTCGTGCTCTTGGACGGCCTGGTCATGCTCCGAGCGGGCCACGCCGTGCTCCGAGCGAAGCCTCTCCGTGGTTTGGAGTAGCTTGTCATGTTCCTTGCGCAGCCGGGCGACCGCCTCGGCATCCAGACTTGCCCTCCGCTCTAGGGCCGCGAGCTTCTCCTTGGCTCCCAGCTTTAGCTCCCGCTCCATCTTAGCCTCAGCCAGAAGGTCGAGGATCCACCGGTGGGTCTCGATGTCCCTCTAGAGCAGCTCGTCCCGCTCCCTCCAGACTTTGGCGGCCTCCTTGTCATCTTGCCGTGCCCTCGTCGATAGGGCCTCAAACGCCCTCTCGGCCTCGTCCGCATGCCAACGGGCCTCGGCCTCCCCCAGTCAGAGACTATCCGCCTCCTTGGCAAGGGGAGTCAGCTCGGCCACCCTCTACTAGGCAGCAATGAGCTAGGCATTCGCATCTTCGCGTAGCTGTGCCCCTTCGACAAGGTGGTCCCAGCTCTCCTTCTGCTCGCGAAGGAACC